CAAGCATGGTTTTGACATACGCTGGCCAAGCATGTATCGAACTACTTTGCTCTCATGCAACCCTTTGTTGCCCGGCCAAGTATTGTTTTTGTTGACATTCGATGGCCGAACAAGTATCGCTTGAACTACTTTACTTTTCTCTCATGCAGGCCTACCGATGAGAAAGGGCACTCTCTTTCAGCGACCGGTTCTCTAAGCAGCGACGTCGTGCCAATCTTTCTTTATTATGGTTCGGCCCGTGCACAGCGGAGTCAGGCTAGCAAGCAATCGAGTCATTTGCGATGGCACCCGTCAAGAGGAGATCCCAAGCTGGACATGCGAAGAAGCCTGTGTCGAACAAGAAAAGAGGAAAAGCAGAGCCTTTGCTTGGGGCAGCGTGGGCAGCATTCCTTCAGCATCTCGCCAACACCGGACCTACATGGGCGCTCATTGCAATTTCTTTGGCACATTTATTGTGCTGCCGCATCACGGAAATCTTACGATTGCAGCTTCAGGACATCCAATGGGACACCAATAAGGTGCGGGTTCGAGAACTCAAGGGGCATGCTGAGATGCTAAAGCCCTTATCCCGAGCCGCAGTCTTGTTCCTGGAGAAGCTCAAGGCTGAAGGCGGTCGAAAGATTTCTCGCACGAGGATGTGGGGCAGCAGAGGTTTGGTGACTTTCATGGATTGCTGGAAGTTTCCACTCGAAGGTGAAGGTCATTTGTTTCCGGCTTCACGGAAGGACTGCGCCACACCACACAGGAACAAAGTGACTTGACAAGTACGCATAGCAGAACGTTCTTAGACTTTAAAGCTTAGGGTTGGTTTAGGGCTTAGGGGACATGAACTGTAGTTTGGACAGCAGAGGATGCGATGGCGAAAGCAATCCGGACAGCTCGAAAGTCGTTCGTGCCTCCACCCGAAGCAGGTGCCATTCAAGTATCGAAGATACGCAGTCATTCAGCTCGTCACAGATGTATCAACGACCTGAAGCAGAGCGGCACAGCGACATCCACGGCAATGCGCTTCTCCAGAATCCGGTCTTGTCAAGTGTTCAACGGCTACGGTCAACAGTCAGAAGATCAGATTGCAGAGGCTTTGCTAGCTAACGCGAACCTTCAGCAGCTGTGGCTTGACATCTACTCCTGATTCATCCCAGAGTGGACCCTCTGATGACACTCGGACTCGGTGCGCCGCAGCCCAGCCAAAAAACGTCGTCATGTAGTACCTGACAGACTCAGAGTGACAGTTTATTTGTGCTTGAGTCGCTGACCGTGCCCATATGAGTCGCAGCTGCTGCGTTGTTTTTTCCAATTGTCAGGCATCGACGGATCCCCGCCGCCGAACTTCCAGGCAGCTGCTCGCTCTGAGTTTGCTACAGAATCAAAAACTAGATTCCGGAGCCGAAGCGTTGACTCCTGATGGAATCCTGAGAGTCTCAAGACAGAAGGTTGAAGTTGTCGAGTCTTCGTTTACAAAGGATGTTTTCGGATAGCAACCTATTGCCCTCTGTTCTGCGAATCTCATTGTGACCATCACCTCTTTAGCTCATGGATGAACGCCTTTGCGTCCTGCAATGATCGCTGCTCTTTCGCTCGAGATCATCCATGCCTCGTTGGCGTCCTTCACCCGTTGGGCCAATGTCTTCTTGTTAACGTCGTCGTTAGGATGGTTTCGCATCCTTATTTGGAAACCATTATTGTGACGAACAAATTGAAGAAAAAACGAGCTCCCTCCAGCCTCGTATCTTAACCTGGCACTGGTTTGTCCGATTAGATGCTAAACCCTAAACCATCCGAAGCACCATGACCGTTGGAACTCATCGTGTGCCAGCATCATCGCTGTCTTCGGCTTAACCAGCGCTGCTCTTTCGCTCGAGATCATCCATGCCTCGTTGGCGTCCTTCACCCGTTGGGCCAATGTCTTCTTGTTAACGTCGTCGTTAGGATGGTTTCGGATCCTTATTTGGAAACCATTATTATGACGAACAAATTGAAGAAAAAACGAGCTCCCTTCAGCCTCGTATCTTAACCTGGCACTGGTTTGTCCGATTAGATGCTAAACCCTAAACCATCCGAAGCACCATGACCGTTGGAACTCATCGTGTGCCAGCATCATCGCTGTCTTCGGCTTCTTCGGCTTCACCTCCGGCTTCGCATCGTCCGGGGGGCGCTTCCCATTCGCCGCCGACGCGGAAGAAGCCAGCTCCTTCTTGTCATCCTCCGGAACGTTGATCTGTGGCTCCACATTCTCTGTCGGCACAGAAGAAGCCACCTCCTTCTTGTCATCCTCCGTCATGTTGATCTGTGGCTCCCCTGTCTCCGTCGATGCTGTGATGTACACATCCGTCACCTAGACAGGACGAGGTGAAGAAACATGTTCCCGATGGCACATGCCGCACATGCATAACGTTCCCAAAAACGAACGGCAGGGCCTTCGGCTTGGCATCGTCCGGCGACTCCTTCAAAGAATCCGCATCCGTGTCCTAGACAGGACGAACTGAAGAAAGATGTTTCTCATTTCACATGCCACACATGCATAACGTTCCCAAACACGAACGGCAGGGCCTTGGGCTTGGCATCGTGCGGCGACTCCTTCAAAGAATCCGCATCCGTGTCCTAGACAGGACGAGCTGAAGAAAGATGTTCCCGATGGCACATGCCACACATGCATAACGTTCCCAAACACGAACGGCAGGGCCTTCGGCTTGGCATCGTCCGGTGACTCCATCAAAGAATCCGCATCCGTCTCCTAGACAGGACGATTTGAAGAAAGATGTTCCTGATTTCACATGCCACACATGCATAACGTTCCCAAACACGAACGGCAGAGCCTTCGGCTTGCGATCCTCCGGCGACTTCATCAAAGAATCCGCATCCGTCTCCTAGACAGGACGAATTGAAGAAAGATGTTCCTGATTTCACATGCCACACATGCATAACGATCCCAAACACGAACGGCAGAGCCTTCGGCTTGCCATCCTCCGGCGACTTCATCAAAGAATCCAAAAGCCCGCCAGTCAGTCTCCGCAAGGAGGGTGTCTCTGCGGTGCCAAACGTCTGCTCCAGCTCGGTCTGCGAGGACTCAGCAGGCAAGATCTCCGTCGAAAGCGATGATGGGAAGACGAGCTCTCTGCGCACATTGTCTGCCTCCATCGGGGATACTTCAAACTTGTCGAGATGCGGTGGTTGCTTGTGATGTGTGTGTTTCTGTGTCGTGCCTGGACTGCCTCAGAGATCTCCCCCGGAACCGACGATTCCAAGGGCTGTGTCTCCATATTATCCACCGAGGAAACACCTTCGTGGAGACCATCGTTCACCTCCATCGGGGATACATCAAACTGTTCTCGCGGTTTGCTTCTGTGTGTGTGTGTGTGTCGAGCCTGGACGACCGGTGCCGAACCGCTCGCAGTAATGCAGAACATTGCCGGGCGTGCTGGAGCAAGGGTCCCTGATATTGTGGAGTAAGCTCCTGCAACATCAACCCGCTCCTCGAAGTCGTATTCAAGAGCATCGAGGTCCACGACGGTGGTTGACGGCATCGGCATTAAGTGAAAGCACAGGGTCGGTCAAAACCTACAGGCTTCCAGCAGTCTAGCAGCGTATCTTGACAGGAGCTCGAAGCATGCAAACATTGCATTGACCAATGACTTATCCACTCCTGTGTGCTCCATGTGCGGACAGTGAAAGAAGTCTTTTCATCAGTCGTTGTTTGACAGAAGTCTTGGATGAATCAGCGATTGGTCGGCCCAGTCCCCCCAGGGCCTGGCCAGACCCACTGAGAAAGTGGACGTCTCTCCACGGCAGCCAGCTTCTTGCAATCACTGAACACTTCCAAACGACATGAAACTCTTACAGGTTGATTGCCGAGGCAAGTCATCTCGAAAGAAATCTTGACTCCTTTCGTGCACCTTTCGGTTCCCGATCTGTGCTCGGAGGCTTACATCACCCTAAGGCAGTCGCCCTGGTTCAAAACAATTGTTGTCCGCGGGTACCACAAAGGCTTAGCGGCTGCCACCATCCTCTCGTTGACATACTGTCTGATGCGCCACACCTGTAGCACGAGCTGCAATAGTGAAAAGTCGCACTAGTAACTGCTGTCCAAGTGGCACAACGCAGAGCAGGCGATGACGTCATTGACGTCGAAGGGAAATAGGAACCGGCGTTGGTGTGCTTGACGAGCTCCAACCTCGTGTTGTTGGATTTCCATCCTGCCGGCTTCTCCGGGTCCGGAGTCACATCGAACCTTAGACACTGCACCAACCTCTCTGGTCTCAATCTCTCTGGTCAGTACATGACAATGTCTGGCCCCACATGTCTGTCCAATCCAAACAGGACACCGGTCGGCGGTCTCCTGTCCTTGTGTGACTGCTGCCGGTCGGGTGCAGGTGTGTCCACCGAGAGTGTAATCGATTAGCCCAGACCTCTCCACAGTTTGCAAGGCTGCCCGCAACGTAGTGATTGGGCCGTCGCTGCCATTGGACTGACAGACAGTCGGGCTGAAGTGTGTCCATGTCACAACATCACTTTCAAGCCTAGCAAAGATTCATTGCAACATGTTGCATGGTGTCTGTGAACGGCCTCGAGAATAACCGATGCTGAGTCATTCTGCATCTCGCAGAACACCATTCTCGGCGCCAGTCTCTCGTCGTCCTTCGCTTTTTTGGCCTTTTCGTCGACCAGCCAAATACCCGGGCCGTGCATCACCAGCGGACCCTGTTCCTCCGCCGTCCATCGGCAGCTTTGCTTGGCCACCAGCCAGAGTTGGGGACCCTCGGTGATCACGAAGGAGACCGAACTGTTCGGGCCCGCATATTCGTGCAGCTTATTCCCAGGTGGGGTTGACCCGGTGCAAAAGCCGCCAGTGAAGTGGCTTTGAGCCTCGAGGGTTTCGGGAGCTGTACTGGCATCGCCGCCAGCGACAGGAGCTGGAGGATTAGGAGCAGTAGCCTCAGGACATACAACCATGAAACTGAACCACATCACTATCAATTGAAAGGCTTTTCAATCACACAATGTCAAGCACGTCTTGGCCGAGCCGCAACCGTTTCCGTCGGGGACGACCACTCTCTGTCGAACTTGCTCAGTAGCTCCCTCCATTCCGGTCCATGAACTGCACATCCCAAGAACTCATTCCGAATCTCCCGCGGGATACTCAATCTTCCATCCGCCATGTTGCAAATCGTCAAAGAGGGGCTTGAGACCTCAGCCGGAAGGTCCTCGGCTGCGGGCTGCCTCTTGAACATCGGCGACACCTTGTCCATGGGCTCAGTCTTCGTCTTCCATGCCTACAACGAGAAGACTTGTGGGATCAATAACAGGGCTGGAGCATTGGAACAGAACAGCATCCAACCAAGCCTCCATGAGGAAATCCCGCACCATGTCCTTGGCACACTTCCAAGGGCCTGTGGTCGAGGCAGTCGAGAAGACAGGGTAGCCGAGCTTAATGGCCGCTTTCTCCAAGGTGCCGTCGTAGGCGGTCGGGTTGAAAATCACTGCTTTGTTCGAGTCGCTCAACAGACTGCTCAAAATCTGAGTGGGAACAGACAGTCCACCGAGCCATTGGGCCAGCTCTTGCTGGTCTGTAAGGTTCCGTCGACCCTCGTTGCTGGACCAGAGATTGCCCCCCGGGACAATGAAGTCCCTCTCCTCCAGCGCAGCTGGATACTGACTTTGCTGCAATGCTTGTTTGCACCACAACTCTTTCTTGCAGAACCTCAGCCGAAACGGAAGTGTATAAATCTGCCAATCTAAGACATATAAGCAAGCATGTCAAATGTCCTCATTCACACTCAGGCCAGGCAGCACGTTGATATTCTCCTTGTCCGCTCCCGTGCTTGCACTCCGCGATGCTCGATGCAAAGTTCCTTTTGTGGGCAGGGTGCTGTCAAGCAGGCCCAGGTAGCACACGAACGAGGAAGGAATGTCTCTGTTGCCATGGACATTTGAGATGTCCATATTCAGAAAGAAAGGTTTCAGTTCGATGTTGTTGTCGAGAAACTTGTCCTCCAGCTTCCTGCATGTAGCAGCTATGTAGCACAGTCGTCATTGTCAGCTCGGCACTCACACAATCAGTGTGCACTAAATCTCAAGCCGAACACCTGATGTCGCTGCGCATGCTCACAGCACAGGTTGATCCACCCATCAAAGGGGGGAGCAACACGAGAACCGATCCTGCAGCAGGATGCGCAAAGCACATTGCGGGAAGACAAGCTGTAATATCTGACTGCTGCATGGCTCTCAGTCCGAGCTCCGGACTCTCGGGGTTCTGCCGCAGCAAGCTCTCAGCATTCTCGGCCAAGGCATTGATCTCACTCTGTTGCATGATTCCCAGTTTGGTGCAATCGCACCACACGACGACGTGCAGCTCCGTCTTGGAAACCTGAGCTTTTCCTTCTCAATCAATCAAAACCTGGATTTAGGATTGGAGGTTTACTCACCCTTTTCGGCCTCCAGCAGGGATGCTGCTGCTGTGAAGCCATAGTGCACACGCTTTGCGAACTCATCCAACGAGCACATCAGAACAGAAGCGCATTTGTCCATGTGCTCCTCAGCGAGCCTTAGCACAGAAGAGACGACATGACATGTGTCACTGTTTACTTTGCCAGTGACACAACTGTTGACCGATGAAACCTGACAGCTGGCAAGGGGCTTGGCCCCGATGGCATTCTGGCTTTTCATGTGCATCACTTCGACAACATGCGTCCGAATGTCTCGCTGCTGCGTCTTGGTGTTGAAGGCCGTCATTCTGTGCGAGTCTTCGGCCACTTTGGCTCTGATCTCCCTAAACTTGGCTGCACGAACAGTGTCGGCACGCTCCTGCAACGTCACCTCGTCCTGGGGGTCCAGCTTCACAGACGTCGTCTTCGGCTCGATGAACTCAGACCATATCGCGAGATGTTCGACTTTGAAGGTCGGCAGTTTCGCCGTGATCGTAGCTTCGATTTCCGACCAGTAATCCCTTAGCAACAGAAGGCTGCAAACTAGCTTAGAACGCGTTTAATGTGCATTCTCGTGGCCGGCTCATGAAACACTTCATCACACTCTGCTCCTTCTTGTCGTCCCACGAACTCAGCAGACGTGCTTTCTCCAACACTCTGGAGTACACACAGGCAAAGTCAGCCATCTTGGCAAAGTCATCCACCGATGCCCTCATCTTGCCCCGGGAGGAGGCTCTCAACTTCTTGCCGGCAACTGTGAAGCTGTGGATAACCAAGTCGATGTGCAGCCTCTGTGAATGCTCTGTCACCGTCAGCAAGTTCACAATCTCGAGAGGACAGTTCTTCGGCTTTGCCCCCAGGAGCCATCTGGAGCACCTAAACTGTTCCACGGAGAAAGCCGACTCTTTCCATTTGGCGTAGTTGAGGTGCTTGGCGATCTTGTTCCTCGCTTCCTGACACTATCTTGTGGGAGTTGAGCCGTCATGCCGTGTCACCTGGTGATTGCCTAAAGTAAGAACGATAAGTAAGACAAGGCTCGGCTGAAGTGCCGGCAATGATGTTGTACACAGACTTGATTCGGTCTTCGTCCATGGCGTGCTTCATCTGCAAGCCGTCCATTGAGTTGTACTCTTCGATCACAGAATTCAAGCGCTCCATGGTGGACCAGTGCTTGGGGTGCTTGCCCTGCTCATTGCGTGTGTCCATGACCTTGCTGAAACGAAGAGCCAGCTGCAAAGTGTTCGGCGCTTGTCGTTCCGATCCACGATAGCTGAGCATCAAATTGCGGAAACTCTGGCTGACGCTGTCCACATTCATAGAAACCTGCGGCTGGATATGTGTAACTCAGTAGTATTGTACCAACCACAGAGATGACTCAGTATTACGGTGACTCTTGCTGCGAAGCTGCGACGACAGGCACCATCCAAGCCTTGTCCAGAAAAGGAAAGAGAGGCTTCAGCATGTCCCAGCTGTCGGAATTCGTGTCCAATTCACTTGCCGCGATCAAAACCGTCATGATCACGCTGGCTCGCGTGTAGCCCTTGATCACGTCGAAGCATGAAGCGGTCAAACCTGAGGGGAATTATCGGACGCATCTCTTACTTGTGATACTTGTCGTGCCCCTGTATGTCGCTCCATGCTACCCCGCCTCCATATCCGGAACACTTGATGCTCACGTCAAGCGGCTCGCGGATCAAGTCTATGCCGCCGAAGAACATGCTCTCGAATGTTCCGAGCCAGTCTTCGATGACAGGCGGTCCGTCCGTTGGTGTGTCGAACCTTGCATGGAGAAGGTTATTTGTGTGAAACCTGTTTCCCAAACTCCAACAGCACTCGCTGAGATCGCGGCGCCAGTGCAATCAGAGGAACGTGCATGACGGATCCTGCAGCTTCGGGTCGGAGCACCTGCCGATAGCAAGTCTGCCATGCCCTCAATCATCTGTGACTTTTCTTAATGAAGATAAGACACCACTTCGTCCAGCTTCTTGAAGGCAGCCAGGCCAGAGCGCTTCTTAGCATACTCGTCATACCAAACCTCCAACTGGCTGCTGTGTAGTCGTCGATCTGTCTCCGACCCTGAGGCCAAGATCTCAAGCACCAACGCTGCCGGATGGGCATTGGCATGGATGGCAGCTTCATTCCGAAAAAGCTGGGTGTAGGCGAGTATGTCCTGTACGGGAAATGGATCGGAATCAAGAAAACTCTAGGACCATCATCATGTCATGTCTCGAGCTCGCAGGCTGCAGTCCTTTGCCAGCTGCAAGTCTCCACACGGAAACTTCTTCAGCTTCTTCTCCAGCTCTGTGCAACTGCGTTTGGCCTGAGGGCTAGCCAATGCCCCCTTGGAGTCGGGGTCGGATCCAACCTCTGGTTTCAAAGCCTTCGTCTCAGCTTGCTTCAGCATGACGGGACAACGAGGGGCGAAGTGTCAGCCAGCTGTTCTGGATAGCAGACACAGCTACGGTAAAATCAGCGGTGTTCTAGAACCAGAATCCCAACAAATGTCACGGAGCTTTCAACACAGAGCGACTGCCGACATCGCACGACCAGTCACTCTGCGAGTTTCTTGATATTTCAGTGAAAGTCGACACGGCAATAGACATACATCCAGTACCGGCTTTTGGCTGCTGTTGAACATAGAAAATGTATAAACGGAGCAAGTTGTTGAGCCTGGACGGGTATAATAAGAGAACGAACAAACAATCCCAAGTCTCGGACAGAGGAAATCAATGCACTCTCCGCCGTCGGTACCCGGATAATCAATGCACCCTCCGCCGGGAAATCAATGCACTCTCCGCCGTCGGAATCCAAAAATCAATGCACTCTCCGCCGTCGGCGCCCGGAACATCAATGCACCCTCCGCCGGGAAATCAATGCACTCTCCGCCGTCGGAATCGAAAAATCAATGCACTCTCCGTCCGGAAATCAATGCACTCTCCGCCGTCGGCCCCCGGAACATCGATGCACCCTCCGCCGGGAAATCAATGCACTCTCCGCCGTCGGCCCCCGGAAAATCAATGCACCCTCCGCCAGGAAATCAATGCACTCTCCGCCGTCGGAATCCAAAAATCAATGCACTCTCCGCCGTCGGCCCCCGGAAAATCAATGCACCCTCCGCCGGGAAATCAATGCACTCTCCGCCGTCGGAATCGAAAAATCAATGCACTCTCCGCCGTCGGTCCCCGGAATATCAATGCACCCTCCGCCGGGAAATCAATGCACTCTCCGCCGTCGGAATCGAAAAATCAATGCACTCTCCGCCGTCGGCCCCCGGAAAATCAATGCACCCTCCGCCGGGAAATCAATGCACTCTCCGCCGTCGGAACCGGAAAATCAATGCACTCTCCGGCGGGAAATCAATGCACTCTCCGCCGTCGGAACCGGAAAATCAATGCACTCTCCGGCGGGGAGTGCATTGATTATTGGTGTTTCCGAACTCCAAGCCGGGAGGAGCGGAGGCGGAGTCCGGGGCTCTTGTGACCCCAAGAATCAATGCACTCTCCGCCGGGGAGTGCATTGATTCCGGCTGTTTCAGTGAGACGGGCAGCGCTGCTCCAACCTAAGAGTGCATTGATCTTGTTCTCGGAAAGCGAACATATGTTCAATGTTCTCTCCGGGGTCGAGTGCTGCAACATCCTGGGTTTACTGATCATGATGTTTATTTTATGTTGAGATTCCAACATAAAATAAACATCATGATCAGTAAACCCAGGATGTTGCAGCACTCGACCCCGGAGAGGCCATTGATCCTATGTTCGGTTTCCGAGAACAAGATCAATGCACTCTTAGGTTGGAGCAGCGCTGCCCGTCTCACTGAAACAGCCGGAATCAATGCACTCCCCGGCGGAGAGTGCATTGATTCTTGGGGTCAACCGATCTCGGAGCCCATCCCGCCCCGTCCCTCCTCCATCTCAATCACATAAACAATCAACCCACGCCCACACAAGCAAGCACACAGACAAGCACACTCAGAGACCCACAAACACACACACACACAGACACAAACAAACACACACACACACACAAAGTTAAAGGCAAAGACACCCAAGCATGTGCATCCACACAGTCACACACACACACACAAACAGCCATGTATGTAGACGGGCACACAGGCACGCGCACACACACACGCACACAAACAAACAACACAACACAAGGACCCACACAAACCTTGGGAATGCGAATCCTCCGTACACCAAATCAAAATCCATGTAGGGTTCGGGCAAGTTAGGAAACACGAATTTGCACACGAAGTCCCACAATACACCCCATTGATTTTCACGGATTAGTCCACCGTCACACTTTGTGTCTCATTTTCATCGAAGTAGTATCAGCTAAATCAGAATCAGAGGAAAGTATCCGGATGTTAGTTGCACGATTCTCGGGCCTAGCCGCACACACGGACCACTGCTATTTTGTTGTAGGGTTGAGGCTCCAAAACGTGAGACCGGACACAAACACAATCCCCGAATCAATTAAGAGTGATTCGACAACGACTATCGAGTCCAAGAAATCAATAACTTGTTGCCGATTCAATGGAAGGACATTTCAGCCTGACATATGTAACCCAGGCTCGAAGATACTACACGGGTGAAAAAAATATGATCGAGATGACGTTTCCTTTGTCTGTGGCTGCAAAGGAAACCGGGCATGGCACGGGACACTCGCTGGCCAGACAGGCAAAGCACAGCTGCACTTGCAACGTGCGGGCACACTGGGGGCACGTCGTGCCGATGAGAGTCTCCGAGTCATCATGGCCGATGACCTTATGTCGCATGATGAATAAGAATCAGAAAGACATATCTTTGATGTATGTTCCGACCCACACTGCAAGCAATTCGTCCGTGACATGCCACAACAAAACTGACAGGAAGCCGGAGTATCAAAAGTGTTCAGGGAAATGCAAACAGTAACGGTGAGAAGTCGATGTTGTGCACAATCAGTATTTTGCCAGACAGACAAGAATGACTCCATATTGTGGGATTTGAAGCTTTGCTCATCTCCTGCCCGACGGACACACTATGCATTCTCGCATGTCTACCCGGAGTGACGTGGCAGGTTCTCAATATGCTGCACGAGTAAGGAGGGCCGTGGACTGAATGGGAGAAGAACTAGAAGCATGCGTGTCTTTTCCTATAATGGCCCATCCACATTGAGACTTGTAGCTTGCAAGACGACACATGGGTTACACATTATAAGATTCGTCCGCAGCAGAAATGCCTCTAAACTCCTTTTTAAAGCGATGTTCCTCAGCAAAGCTTGGCTCCCGACTGCCCTGATATCGCAGAAGAAGCCTCCGGCCAGAACATTTTGGTCCAAACTGCCATTATTACAATTGTCTGCAAGAGAATTATGCACAAAGCAGGAAGCCGATCGGAGCACATTTTGTTTCGTCTGCGAGACGTGGCAACAGTAGCCGAGGATCGGCCAAGGAATCTTCGTCAAAGACAGCAAATCATCGTCTGCTGAAAATGGCCTTCAGCGGAAGTGCCGGGGCCAAAGCTGCTTCGACAGCTTCGTGCAGGAACCTTCCTGCTTGTGCACGAACCGGAGGTGCCGGTGGCCGAATGTGCCACGGCATGTCGCGAAGAACGGCTTCATGCCAGAACTGGTTTCTGGCCAGCTTCTCCAAGTAATCAACAGCTCTGCGATAAGGCTCATTGTAATGGCTCAGGACTTTCTGGGCCAGCTCTTGCCACTCTTTCTGATTCTTCGCTGAGTGATTGTTCACCCGCCTGCACATAGCACATGTTGTCACAGAATGGAGGACCGACTCAACTCGCTACCACAGCATCAAAATCTCGTCGACACATGCATGTTTGCAACCCGGGCGCTTAGTCGAAGGAAGACTTTCCCATCCGTCGGCCTTTGTCCGAGGTAAAACCAGCAGAGGTGACTGCGAAAGCATGGGATCGCAGATGTGCTTCTTCAAGAGGACAACGACATCCAAAGGATCACGAGGGCCACGAAAAGACCCCTCTGTCACAGAGGTCATCAGAGCAGAAGGAAGATCTGTCCAAGCACAAACACACAGAGACGACTCCAAGCAGCAAGAGCAGTCTGCAGGAACATGTAAAGTGCTAATTGAAAGTGCTGCATCCAAGCCTCGACGCAGCATGAAGAAAAACATGTGGTTGGAAGAGGAGTCCTTCAAGAGCCCACCTTCAAGGCCTACACCGATGGTGGGGAGGTGATTCCTCCAATCTCTCACACACACAAGTCGCTCGACGAGCACTTCTGTGTTGGGCCCGAGCCAAGCACGCATGCTTGCCTTCTGTAGCTCTGACAGCAAGACGTGGCACACGTCATCTGGATTCAGCAACTTGCTCTCGTTGGCGATTCGTCTGGCTAGACATCCCCAGAGTTGATCTCAGTTCGTCAAGTCTTCAGCTGAGACTCCTTTTAGCCGACTTGCAGTTCAATGCTCGCAGCAGGAAAAATGACTCCGAGGGACCTATACGGCAATGGGTGTGACTCTTGCGAAAGTTTGCCAAACAGGAGAAGCGCATCCGATACTGGGCCACGAGAGCGGCCAAGTACAGTAACACATACTGGTTCTTGGCCTCCCGGACGGTGTTATCTGCCTGACTCAGATAATGCATTTGGTCAATCTTCCTTTGCTGCTGCTCCTGATGCTATCCAAGGTACGAAGAGAATAAGTGTATGTGGAAAAGGATGCCCTCTCTCCTCGCAGAGCTTCGAAACCTAAACAACAGCCAGGATCGCGAAGCCACAACAGGATTGGAACAGCCCAGAGAGAGAATGCATCTGACTTGCAGACGAGGATCTCGTTCGAGACTCAGAGCCAAACACTCCACCACACAAGCACTATCATGTTTGGTAGGCTCGTCCATGACATAGACTTGCAAGCTCAGCCCAAACACCCAAAGACCGTGCACCTTCAGTCGCGGTCTCATCTCACCGCTCCTCGGATTGTCACAACAAAAATGAATCTGGAGGAACCTGTCCTTGAAGCTTTCTGATGTATTGAGCCAAATAGCAAAGCAGCAGAGATGCGAAACTCTGGGTCACGGGGCATCATGAACTTGCTCTGGTCGCATCCATCGGTGCATACCACCATGAGTCCACTCAAAGGGTCCATGGCAGACTCTTGAAGTTGCCATGCGACCGCTCGGTCGCAATATTGATCGTGAAGATGACTTCGCAAACCAGACACTGCAGCCAACTTGGTGCTCATATCAGCAGTCTTGTCCTTCAGTGTCTGCTGATATGCATAGCACACAGCACATTGCGTGAACCTCAGATCTGGACATTACATGTGTGACAGCGAGCTCACAAAAATGTTAAAAAGTTGCGACAGGAAGCAACGACTTGTCACGGAAAGCAAGGATCGGTTTCCATCCCGCGGAGTAGATGTGACAGAAAGTCTTGTACCTCTCAGATGAAACCAACCATGACACAGACTGACCGAGTGAAAATGTGATATGTTTGTGCGGTGTAAGTCGAAACTCAGATCGGCACCCCACCCCGGGCCGTCCAAGCAAAGTCTGTGCTGCACGATAGTGCTGGAACAACTCTGCAAGATTCCCCGGAGGAAGATACTTGCGAATCTTCCTGCTGCTGGCCGCCAAGATCGGCGCATCTGGCTTGTCGATCCATTCGGCAAGCTCTTCTGTGTTCTCGATGTCAGAGGCGATTTCTTGGTCGGCATCGCTTAGCTCATCCTCTGTGTCGTCTGACCGGCCCGGTCTTCTCGGTCTAGCTCGACCACGACGGACATACCTCGCAAGAGCCATTTGCTCTGAGAGCCACTGACAGGTCCTATGAGAGATTATGAACTCCATACATTCCAAAAGGAATCAGACTAAAGGCCGCTGCAAGATTTGCTGAGGACAACGTCGGAGCAAGCACCACGACCTATTTGCTGCTTAGGGACTGGTGTGGCAAGGTCTCTGCAATAGCATCATAGGCATTTTGCAAAAACGCATCAACCGAGTAAGATTCCAGATGGCTGCGATACGCACGCTTGCCATGCCGGAGGTCGGGGATTGCAGACTCTACCTTTTGTAGACGATGAGATCCCACACCCAAGAGTTTGCTCAGACATTTGCGGCCCACTTCCTGTCCCAATAGGATGTACTTCGTCGGATTCGCCGCACTGCTGCCACAAGCCAATTGCATCTGAGCAACTCAGACTCAGAGTCAACAGTTGACAGAAGGAAAGTCAAGAGTTAAGCTGTCTCACCGCTTGTCATGTTTATGTGTTAAGTCAGCAAAGAGGCGAACCCATCTTGGTCAATCTTGCTCATGCCCCAGAATTTTTCCAGGAAGTTCAGCAGTTGCTGCTGCTTGAAGCTTTTGAAACATACTTT